TCCTGGCGATGTGTCGCTGGGAGGCCTCGTGGACGTGCTGTTTGCGCTGTTCAGAGGCCTGAGCCGGGAGCTGCTGCTGTCTGTGCAGAGGCTGGGAGGTGATGGTGGTGGTTGGGATGGTGGTGGTTGTGGGGATGGTAGGTACTGTGGTAGTGGTATTGCTGGTAGTGTTTATGAGGATTATGTATGTATGTTGAACTTCTTTTGCACCGTATGTAGCGAACCATGCTAATCGGAGATGCAGTAAGGAATAGTGGGAGATGTGCTGTCGATAGAACAGGTCAGACTTTCAAAGGACTCATACCCACATAGGCACGGCTTCAGTGAGTTTTTGTTACTTCTCTTTTACATGTGTGCCATTAAATCAAAATAAATAATTTCTTACATTAATGCGTGTTTACGCAACGTGTTTTCGTTATAATGCGGTCCCATTAGGAAACGCTTTTTGCACAACACCGAACGTGCCCGTTATAATCTTGATTTGAAGTTTTCGTGACTTCAAGAATCCATACTCTTTGGTTGTTTCGGTAAAGTCACGTAGGTATAAATATACCTATAAATATACCTACGTGACTTTACCGAAAGAACCAAAGAGTATGTGCCTGTTATAACACGGAACGCTGCCGTTATAACACGGTTTCTGGGCGGTCGACAACAAACTATTTTCTTAAGCTGCCCGGCTGAGTGCTCTGACACAGTACACGGAAAGATACAGAAACGCTGCTGCACAGCCTCAGTTATTTGTTTTGCTATCTAGAAAGAAGAATGAATATGATTCCTGTGTTACAGATTTCCAGAGCCAAGTCCTACTCAAACTGGACACCATTATAGAAAACCAGATGGAGCAGTTATGCCTTCTGCAAACACTTGCGAACAGAAGTGTTGTAAATGAGGGCTTAGATGATGTCCTCCCCAACCCAATCAACGACACGGATGAACTTGAAGAGCTTTGCTGTAGAATTAACACGGATGAAAACCTCAAAATGGAAATGGTATTTTACGTCTTCAGTAAATGCAAAGAACACATTTGCTTTATATTTTAGACAAGCTATCTGTTTAATGTGTATCATAATAAAGTGTATGCTGTATTCGATGTAATTTTAAGAACTGCTTTTTTTCAAAACAGCTTAAATGTACTTCACAGATTTCCTATCTGAGTTCACTGGGTGGATGTAATGTTCGGGACAGTGTCCGGCGAATGATGAAAAGGCTCGGCACCAATGCACTGTGGTCAAACTATAGCCTCAGAGGGAGAAAGGGAAAGACGCCCCTCATAGATCTTCCAGTTTTTATGGTGTTGACTAGTAAGTATATGTTATAAACCTTGCTTTTTCCCTATTTTGTCAGAAATCAAACCTGTTTCTCATGTTATTTTTATTTAATGATGCACAAGATTTGTGGCAATGACATCCATACGAAAACATACAATATTTATACGTATGAATTGTGATATATTTCATTTTTATCGGCAGTCACTGCAGATAATTATAAGTTATCTTTTGCGTGTCTGTATCCCAACAAGTTAAAAGTAATGATTATGCAAGCTTTCAACTATCTAAAGTGTTTTGTTCACGTCAAACAATATCTAGAGCATGAATCAAATTCTACGTGTTTCCACTTTTTCTACAGGAGCTTGCTTAAAAAGCTACCCAAGAGCAAAGGTGAAGGAGATAGAGGTAGAGATCGCAGAAACCCTGAAGCATTCCCCGAACAAACGAGGAGGTGCAAATTACAAGGTGATGTTCATGCTGCTAGTTTATTTTTTTACTGTTTAGAAATTTGCTTGGGAATGGTGAATTTTTCTGCTTTTGTTTCAGTTTTGACTTTCAGTCCTGTAAATGATTGCAAAAACAAGTCTTCGCTGTTACATGTTCTTCAGACATCATTCAGTATTTAAATGTACATTTATTTGAGAGATGGGATCCTGTATTAAAGTTCGAAACCTTTTTCAAAAGCATTTTTCTTCCCCGTTTGAATTTTGTAATACTATTTTATTCTCTTCCACAAACAAAATTTTATTACAGAACTAGTTCATGAGGTCTGTCTTTGCCAGGCAAAAGTTGTCAATAAATATAATAACTAACCTGATATGATTTTTTATAATATGTATCTACGATCAGACACTTAACAAGTACCTAAAAAACTATTATTTTTCCGCAAAAAATGTTTTTGACTTGATTCAATGTATCTTTAAAGACGTACCCATCGGAAACTGCTCAATTTAAAGATTCCGTTTTTATTAGAAAGAACAAAAATTAATGGATTTAATACCGTTTTCGAACTATTCAGATTTGAACATCATAAAATGCATATTTTTCGTTCAAACCCACTTTAATTTGAAATCAATAAAAACAAAAGGTAGAAAAATGGTTCTCGTTTTAATATTATTTGCTGTTTAACGCTCTATTAAAGGAAAAAAAACTAAATCTTATATATTGAACGGTTTCTGAATGACACGCACAAACATGTTTATCGGACACTTAAAATCGAGATTTGGGCAGGGGCGGTTTCTTCATTAGGGCGATTGGGCGACGCACCACCAATGTCATTCAACCACAGAGTTACGCTAGCCGTTATTGTGCCTCTGGATATAGTCCAATCAGCGTCATGTCACGTTCTGTGGAGTACCGCCTTTTTTTGGGCGATTTCACTCTGGCTGAGAATCGCCCAGAGTGTTCCCATAGACTTACATTTAAAGATGTTTTTTTTCGAACGGCGGGCGCTCCAATGCCTTCTATATGGCTTCCGGGAGGTCTCGCACTAACGTGCTTACGTCATCATACGTAAGCACGTTTCAGTCAACAATATTATTTGTCGCCACCTAGTGGAATCTTTAATAAAAGAAATTGAGTGGATTGTAATAATAGTGAGTATAGAAACAAACAAGATGTATTGTAAGAGTCACTTTATTTTTCATTAATATTAAAGAAGTGAAGTTGCCTTTACATGCTTAAGCTGTTAATTTATCCATTGCATTGGTGGACCTTATCCTTATCAATCATCCAGACATTTGCCCCCCCTGAGAGATTTTGCAGGAGCCGCCACTGGATTTGGGGGTCTTAAAATGAAAAATCTCAGTTTTTCGGATTTTCCTGTTTGTGTCCTAAAAGCTACCTATGTACCAAATTTAAGCTTTCTACATTGTCGGGAAGCACCATAGAGTTTTTTACACATACAGATTAAGGTATTTATATATATTGTATATATTTCACGAGAGAGTACGCTTTGTGGTAGCATTTTGTAAAGCCATTAAACGCTTATTTCTCATGCTTTTATAAGCCACATAACTCGGTTTATCGTAGTGTAATCTCTTAAATGTATTAACCATATGCTGTTTTTGCACAGGTAAACTTGTGTTTGGAAGGTTTAATCAGAAATAATAGGAATTATTTTTTACCAAATTGAAGAAAAACTGTTTTCTTTGAATTGCATTGCTGTAGAAACTGATGAAACTTTGTACCGGTAATACTCTACAGTATCTTACATACTCAACGTGTGAAAAGAAATTGATTGTCCTAAAATGTATATTTAAATAGCCCAATACGTATTAAACGTAAAAAAACCCTATATTTTATACGTACAAACAGGCCTTGGGAATTTGCAGGTGGCCATTGAAGTATTGTACATAATACAGGTAACACATGGAAGCCTGTGTTTGAAAGCGTGAAAACAACTGCATCTAGTTCACATTGTTTCTAATGTAAACCTTATTCCTTTCAGGAACCTGAAGTCATAACGATGAAGAATGAAAACCAGCCCAGCCACCCCGTGTCTTCATCTGACATTGTGGAGACACATGGATCTTGTTCTTTAAAATGGCAATCAATACAACCTTAAAATACCATATATATACGTTTTATAGCTAGAACTATATATACATATATTTTTTATGGCAGTTAACATGACAGGAGCATGCCATCTTTAGTGACTTGTTTAAAGGTTGTATATTCATTGTAACTTTGTGAGTTTAAATACATCATTAATATAACTACATGTTGCGTGCATTTTTCTTGAATATTCAATTTATCATGAGGTAGAAATGTAAAATTGAAACGTCATTCTCCAATGTCGTGGTAACGTATTTCAAAACATACTAATTCGCCCTGCCACAATGTTGATGCCCAATGTTACCATACCGTAACGTAGCCATGTAGCAAAAACGTACACCGCCGCTGAATTACCCTGATAAGAGCTGTAACCATCGGAGGCCAGTAGTAGCTTTGGGTTTATTCTTCATGCGTTCAGGATCCCTAATCTGCTCATGATCATCAAAGGGCCTTCTTCCAAGTTGGTGGGTAAGCCTGGGTCAAACTGACGGGGCCGAGATGTGCGAGTGACTTGCAAGCTTCAACAAACATCGGTCGAGTCAAGAGCAGAGGCCACAGTCGCAGCAGCTGAAACACTGCTGGCGTAAGGGTTCACCGGGACCACCTCCTCCCCAGAGACCACCCCATCTCCCCACGTCCCCCTGTCACTTGGTCAGCGTGTCTGGTTTCAATTCACGGTCCGGGGCCAACCCGGGGGAGGGAGGTGGGGGGGCTAACAATTCACGGCCGGGGCCGACCCGGGGGGGGGCGGAGGTGGGGGGAGGCTTCCAATTAACGGTCCGGGCCAGCCCGGGGAGGGGGGGAGGGAGGTGGGGTGGGGGGGGAGGTGGGGGGAGGGAGGTGGGGTGGGGGGGGAGGTGGGGGGAGGGAGGTGGGGTGGGGGGGGAGGTGGGGGAGGGAGGTGGGGTGGGGGGGGAGGTGGGGTGGGGGGGGAGGTGGATTGGGGGGGGAGGTGGGGTGGGGGGGGAGGTGGGGGGCTTCCAATCCACGGTCCGGGCCCAACCCGGGGGGAGGGAGGTAGGGGGGAGGTGAGGGGGGCTTCCAATTCACGGTCCGGGCCCAACCCGGGGGGAGGGAGGTAGGGGGGAGGTGAGGGGGGCTTCCAATCCACGGTCCGGGCCCAACCCGGGGGGAGGGAGGTAGGGGGGAGGTGAGGGGGGCTTCCAATTCACGGTCCGGGGCCCGCACTTGACCGCTACATTCACGGTCCGGGGCCACCGCCGACGCCGAACGACCTGAAATAATTCCCTCAATATCTCTCGCCAAGTCTCCGCGCGGGGCCATTCGCTGTCCGCCTTCATCTTTGAGGTAAACGAGGCAAGACGGAGGGATGTGGTGGTGGTGGTGGCGCCGGCGTCGTTGCCCTCGTCCCGCGCTCTCGCAAATCTCCGCCCGCTCCGCGCAGTGGCAGCGAGCGGTGGGGGACGCGGGGCCTGTGGCTGCTTGTGCGGTCTATAAAATACAACCGCCCTCGCCTGTGCTGTCTGCGAATTGTAAACGCGCTTGTTTATGCAGATTGTGACTTACAAACGCGCTTGCCTCGGCAGTATAAACGCTTGCGAACGATGCAATGTACTCGGGGGTTATGTAACTTCTAAAAAAGGAAAAAAGAAAACTTGCATTTTAAAAAGCCACTGAATTGCAAACATTGTTATCGGGTGCACTGTCAAACGTGACCGAGTGAGTTGGTTCGTGCGATCAGCTTTGCTTGTATAATGTTACATTATACATTACAAAGGGGTTATAGAGGTTTGCGAAACTCACATTGGGCACTTGCATGCAGGTCATTGTGCGGTCTAAGAAACAAATGCAAAGGTTCCGAGCTCCATGCGTTGTTATGCATGACAATAAGGGTATGCGAAATGCGAAATCAGAGCAGAGATTACTGAGTCGACAATCGGGTGATGGGTGTTGAGATGACATCATCGCATTTATACATGAACCACTGAGGATCGTATCATCACGACACATTTCACCACTGAGATAACATCAGCACTCCACGGTAGGAGGTGCTGGGAATCATGTCTGCATTAAGCACAATACTTGTGGTCAGAATGCAAACAAAAAACATACTCTGGTAATATATGCATTGTCTTTGAAACTGGTTGGTCCACACCAGAGACAGCTTTCTTTTAAGCCTAGTCTCTGGTCTAACACCGTTTTAAGACGAGGCTCGAAAGAAAGCTGTCTCTGGTGTGGACCAATCAGTTTCAAGGACAATGCATATATTATCAGAGTATGTTTTTTGTTTGCATTCTGACCACAAGTATTGTGGTTAATGCAGACATGATTCCTTGGAAAATGTTTCAGTTTGGTGTTTTAACATCTTAACACCTGTTTTGTTGCTAGGAAAAACGGGAAAACCTATTCTCATTCTTGCAATTGTCACTTATGCCAGTGCCCTGCTGTGGGATCACGTGAAACGCCACTTTTTTCAAATTTTCTTGCTGTCAATTTTTATTGTTATATATTTACATTATTTTATTATTTTCCTTCTACGTGACTTTACCGAAAGAACCAAGAATATGACATGTACCTGTTTAGGTTATTGCGTTCCATCTGGACAGGTGGAAAACAGCGTTATTGCACCTCATCAGAAGTGCGAGCATTAAAATCCTGCACGAGGGTAAACGCGGCCAATCATTCCAGCGGGGTTGGTAATGTAAACAAATTGACCTCAATGTCCATTCATCTCGGCCTCCGAATTGTACAGATGGCGTGTGCGGTGGCCACCCCATTGCTGGAACCGAGTGGGGACTTTCCAGCGTGGCTGAAGGCGCAGGGCGTAAACGCAGAGGTGGCCCGAGCCATAGACTCGGAGCTGGGCATCCGGGACTACGGGGTCCTGCGTGCCTGCGTCGGGGATGGCCTCGTGCGGGCTGAGCTACTGGCCACGGCGCGTGACCGCCTTCCCTTCGGCTTCTACGCCGTGCTGCGGCAGGTGGTGAAGGCCCTGCAGGGCTCAGAGCAACATGATGAGACGCGCTGGGACACCGCCGCCTCTCCTGGCGATGTGACGCTGGGAGGCCTCGTGGACGTGCTGTTTGCGCTGTTCAGCGGCCTGAGCCGGGAGCTGCTGCTGTCTGTGCAGAGGCTGGGAGGTGGTGGTGGTGGTGGTTGGGATGGTGGTGGTTGTGGGGATGGTAAGTACTGTGGTCGTGGTGTTGGTGATGGTGGTTATGACGGTTGTAGTGAGGACTAGTGATGGAAGTGCTGTCAGTCGAACAGTGGTGGGGATGGTTTGTGAGTCATGGTAATGACATTGCACGGAACATTGGCCTACTAAATCAGTGTTTCATTCGGTAAAGAGACTTCATTCTGTAACCTATATCAGTAAAATGTTACTTATAAAAGGTTGCTAAAAAAAGGCGTGACACTGGTACGTATGTCCAGTACTCGTTTTTCACTTTTTTCCACTTTGTGGTACACATATAATGTGATCAATGATGGTTACGTTCTTCCAAAACTGCACTCCTCAGAGTGTGGACAAGTGATTTTATTGGGCAGTGAAGTTGCCATTTGGTAGCAACTGTATGGATTCTGGCAATGTTGATAAAGGGGTGGAACAGCAGCATTGAGACAAGACTATGCTTTTACATACAAATTAGCAAATAAAGAACACACAAGAATACTGCTTTCTATATGGTCTTACATTAATATTTCCTAACATTCAGCTTCGCATGGCTTATTGATTGAACTATTCTCACACTTATCCCTTCAACTGCAGATATGTACTGTCTACATGACTGTTATCCAAAATCACCATCGCAATACGAATTACATTATCTGGAGCAGTATCATCCCGTCTACCACTTATGTCATCACAAACATGCTCACATCCGGAGTGCAGGCATTCTACACATTTTGATTAGACATTGCCATGATTCATACAGTTGTGACCATATTGCAGCTACATTTATCGGTACATTTCACATCTCTTTACAACCTCAGGACAAAAAAACATTTCACCATTCTTGCAACTTCATCATGGGACCTCCTTTGCCAGTACCAACATATGAGAATAGGTTTTCCCCTTTTTTCTGGCAACAAAACAGGTGTTAAGATGTTAAAACACCAAACTGAAACCTTTTTACAAGGAATGATGTCTGCATTAACCACAATACGTGTGGTCAGAATGTAAGCAAAAAACATACTCTGATAATATATGCATTGTCTTTTAAACTGATTGGTCCACACCAGAGACGGCTTTCTTTTGAGCCTAGTCTCTGGTTTAACACCGTTTTGAGACTCGGCTCAAAAGAAAGCTCTCTGTGGTGTGGACCAATCATCTCTCATGTCCATTCTCTTGACACGCGATGTGACACTGCTCACTGTGAAAGTTTTAAGACAGAAATGTATTAATCTCATGATATTGCTCTGATAGCACAATTGAATATTATTGGTAGACTTACGCAACTATAAAAACCACCTTGAATATATTTGAACGTATTATACTGTTGAGAATATGGTTGTTTGTTGGCAGGGCAAGTTGAAGAGGATCCAGTTCAGGCTTGGCATGAAATTAAAACTGAACATGAAGACTCAGATGAAGGTAGAAGTGTAATTTAATAAATGCAATACAGTGCAATACATTAAATACAATTCACCACATTACAATGTTAAACAATTCTCTATTGTACTTTGTAATATTTAACATTGTAAACATGCCACGTGACAGTATTATCAACTGCAAATCACTGCACTCATATACCAAACTACACTAATGCACTCCATTAACACACGACACCACACTACATGAATGCAAGGCACACTAATACACTTACGCCACACTAATTCGCGAATGCATTTTATGATGCTAATTCCCTCACACCCCACTAATACAAGATACTTTACTAATATACTAATACTAACCTAAAACACTACCACTATCTTCATACACTGATGCATTAACAAACTTCACGAATGCACTAAACAATCACTGCACGACCTCAAATCTAATAATTAAACTAATGCACTAGCACACTACACGAACACTATTTCACTACTCATATAAGACCCTAGAAGTGAAGTCTCCATTGGCCACTGCTCACACTGAGTCAAGTAATAGGAAACACGTTCATCCTTATCTCTAACGTGTGCTCCCCTGCTCCCTGTTAACCATGTCAGCACTCGTGACAGAGCTGATCACAGTTATTTGTGTCAACAGGAATCACTCAAGTGTCGGAGCAACGCGGGGTGAGACCCGGTCTCTCCAGATCTGAGATGGAAGCGCTGACAGCAGGAATTCCTGCCCATAAACAGTTCGCTTGTAAGTGTGGCTGATATTCCAAACCACAGGGGGTGTGTTGTCCTCTTAAAGGTCGGTGAAACTGTAATCTAATAGTCAATCAAAGTCCAAGTGTCTCAAAGGAGAATTGGTCAGTCCTCGTTGTGTTTGATAGCTCTACTGGAGGTGGAAATTGTACATACCTATAATTGGGGCCTTTTCCTCCATGAAGTAACTACTGCTGGACTACCCACAAGTTGGAACTCATGTTATATATTCGAGGATGGTGGCTTTAGTATACCTTATCTGCAATTTGAACCATCCGACCGGTTTTATGCGCTCTATTTGCTGACCAAATTTACCTAGACATACTCAAGTGATGGCAATGTGAGTTTTAGGTCATTATGATGTTGTATACCTGCATAGCTCCCATCATGCATTCAAAGTTGTGATGTCGCTTGGGTCATGAGGTTTTCTGACATTGTCAATGGTGACGTGGACTCCAGCTACTTACATACCTGTCCACCCATATGGTTTACCCGCATTATTGTACAGGGAAATTTAGTTTTCAGGTCCATACGGCGTACAGCCATTTCAATACAGGCAAAAAAAATTGTTTTCGTCTATTTGTTTGTGTTTCTCCCTTGTGATGGGACTTTGTAGGATGAACATTGAGGTTTATAAGGGCACGGGGTGACCAATAAGGTCCGAATTGGTCTGTAATAAGGTTGGCACTGATAAAGGGTTAACAGGTATGTATTTAACAGTCCCTTCATCAACTTATGTTGGGAGATCTCACCATAAGCTGTGGTCATGTTGGGGTTGCAATGATTGTTCACTGTGCAACTGTACGGTGTTTTCAGTCAAACATTCTCCGCTCTACACACGTTAGGTCGCACTTCAGTGTTATCACTGGAGGTCAAGATGGTGACATGACTGAATATCACAATTTCGGTCAAGAAAGTGCATTTCTAACTGAAAATATTTAACCGTGCTTCCAACTGGTTTCCAGGATATGTAGCCTTAGTGTCCCACTAGATAACTGCAGGATGGGAAATGCATTGAGGGTCTGGCTTTAAGACTGGTCCACTCAAGAGCATTTTTTTTTACAAATCAACAAAGTAGGGAGTGTTGCGAAAGGTGCTTTTCAAGGTTGCTTTGTGTAGCATCAGGCATTTTTTTCACGTGACATCAGAGTGTTAAAGACAGGTCAATTACTGAAGACTGTGGTCTAGTCTTGATGCTGTGTCCATGAGCCATGTATTTAGAGTATTTGGCTGCTATAAAGTTCCACTTGATTCGTCACTTTATTGAGCTATCATTGTGAGCAGGTCGTTTCTGAAATAGAGCTACATAGCTCAGTGGGCCTTACCTGATAAAAAAAAAGTTTAGTTTAATAAAGAAGTGATGCCACTTCCCAAGATGTTACAGGAAAGTGCATCACACATGCTCTGTCATTACTTATGCATCTTTAGACATGTATAATTCTTTGGGTGTGTTAAATTCAAATGGGAACTCTGGGTAATAATTACAAGTTGCAGTCACTCAAATAAATTGTTGGTGTCAACTCAGCTTCGGGGTGGCTAATGCCTGTGTTGATACACTGAGCCAGCACCTATTGACTTCCTTGGTTCAAGTCCTGGGGCTGGCTACACATTGTCACTGAATCTATCGTGTTAAGTGTGCAACACACGACTGGAATACATTCCTCACCATTTTGCATCGACAGCTGAGAATGCAGGAGGAGGGATCTCGGAGCTGAGCATCCAGGACATGGCAGCCCTGCACGTGCAAAACTCTCACCTCCCATACGACGATGACAACGAGGATGACGTGGCCACGGCCATAATGCAGCAGCAGCAGCAGCAGCAACAGCATGGCTCCCAACCCCGGGCGAAGATGCCGATGCGAGAGAAGGTCCGGCCCCACAAGTGCCCGCACTGCGAAAGCCGCTTCTTCAAGACGGACGACCTGAAGCGGCACCTGCGCACGCACACGGGCGAGCGGCCGTACTGCTGCGAGGTGTGCGGGCGCGCGTTCTCTCAGCACTGCAACCTGAAGAAGCACTGGATCACGCACACGGGCGAGCGTCCCTTCCGCTGCGACGTGTGCGGACGCGCCTTCGCACACTACTCCAACATGAAGGCACACTGGCGCACGCACACCGGAGAGAAGCCCTACACCTGCGAAGTGTGCGGCCACACCTTCTCGCATTTCGGCAACATGAAGATGCACCAGCGCATGCACCACGGAGAGCAGACAGGAGATTTGGCCAATGTGGGGAAGGGAGATTGGGTTTCAGGATCGGTGTTGTCCTGAGATTTTGACTCCCGTAAAAGGTTTACGATCGGTGTCTTGAGACCCATGTTCAGAAGGCTGGTTTTCAAAATTGGCTCCAGGATATGCTGTTATAGTATTGGTGTTTTTAGACTATTTTGAGAAAAATAGACCAGTTTTTAGTATCTGAAACTTGCACCTTAGCTCCAGGGGAAGTGGTTTCAGGATCTTGTGTTTTGAGACTTGGCTCTAGGACTCAGTTTCTGGGTTCATGTTTGGAGACTTATCTTCAGGAGACCTGGTTTTAATAATGGTTTCTCAAATACGACTTGGTTCATGGAACCAGGTTTAATAATCAGTGTTTTGCCATGTTCAGGGGAGTAGGGTTTGATTTTGGATTCGAGACATTATTTGGCACTATAATGTGCGCTTGTTTCTCATCAGTAGTAACTATACCTGTACCCAGGTCACTCTTGCAAATGAGACTATCCTTATCTCTTACATTCTCATCTGGCTAATGGAAATAAAGTATCCAACTTGAAACTGTAGCTTCCCAACCCAGTTGCTTAATTACAAATACACTATTAGTTCCACTGAGGACAAGTCCTAGAGTTAATTCCCTACCCTTTTCTCACCTACACACTTCAGTCATTGAAGCTCACAGAGTTCTAACAGAATTCTTGAGATGACTGGCTCTGAAAAATAATATAAGGTGAATCTGACTCCATTATAATACAGTCACCATCATCATCACATTGGTGAGGGCTTAGGCCATGAATAGCTTGTGAGCTGACAAGTGCTTAAAGATAAAAGGGCGTGCTAATGAAGGTACTATGCTGTTCATATCGTGATTTGGCTGATTGGCATCTTGGCAGCGCAATATAGTTCGTATCTCCGCGTTAAACTCGACCCATCACTCAGGGATCAATAAAAATGTACTACCACTGTGGGAAGTCACTAGTGGCTGTACCAAGGGATAACTGGACCTTGTAATAGAAATGGGGAATATCCGCCACTGGCTAAGAGACCCGCAACTGAGATGTGCACACTCCAGTTCTTGAGTATGGGAACACACTTTGTTTTGAATTATATCTTACATTAGAAATTTGTGATATTTTTTTGGGATCCATTAAAAATAGGATTCATGGATGAGGGTTTTGTGTGTAAGAGGATCATATATAGGAAGGGTTTTCCCTTCGTATATTATACAGTACAAGTATCACTTTATATCAGCTTTACTGTTACACTCCATAGGAGGCCAATTACTTGTTTCACTGATGATCGGGAGTGTTCAGTATGCATTTAGTACAATAATTAATGCAACTGATGATGATAAACTGACCTTGTCATAAGAGTAAAACCAATCAAACTCCGTGTTATAATTTTGGAAGCCCAAATTCAAACATTTTGGTTTTCAATAATTTCTTGTGATAAGCAGACTCAACTATGTGCCAACTAAATGTTTTCTAGCCCACCTACAATATACAGATTTACATCAGTAACCGCCGTCTTAATGTATTAGATATCCACATGTACTCAAACTCGAGTAGTTATGTTGGAATTGGTGTAGACAAAACACCTCACCAACATTAACACTGCCGAAATACAAAACAACACGTCAGAGGCTAATGTTTTGGGCAATTGTTCTGCCATGTACCATAGTGGCAAAAGGTATTAAAAAAATATCCTTTCCAGGAAATGTCTCAGTGCCTACTTACGAAAGATAGCAAATTCACAAAATTTGCACATTTCAACAATGTTTCTCCGTGCCATTTATTGCATGCACTTTTTGTTTTATGCTGATGCACTCTTTGAATTCTACTCCTTGTGAATGTCTGTCAGCTGTATTTGCGTCCTGATGGGCCTATTTGTGCAATGGTGGTTTGTGCAATGGCTGTGAATAAAAAGTACTGAATTTTCTTGGCAAAATGAAAGACACCTTACCACTGATGAAAACACCTCACCACCGTCATGAATGTTGCCCATAAAGAATACCTATGTATATATACATATAGCACAGGACACAATCATTTTTTAGACGTTGAATAAGTTCCAGATGTGACATGACACCTGAAAAAAACAACTACTGGACCAGATAAGGATAACCTAAATTAAAGAAACGTAATCAGTTGTTGGATATCAATATATAGAATGAGCGACTTCCACGACACATCGTATAGGGTGTACTTATTTATTTCTCACACTGGGCACAACCCAGGCCAACACTGGTTCTTCCTCTCACTGAATATAACTCGAGGCAATAACACCTCTACTGGCTACACGCACAGCCGGTCACTGGCGGCGTGACGATGACGGCGATGGAACCCACTGCAGGAGATCTTCCAAGTGGCCAGACGACGGAGAGAGATGTCGGTGAACAGCGACAGCAGCCAGGACCCAGGACCCCACTCACGAGCTCCGGGTCCGCTCCCCCTTATATCCCCCCAGGTGTGGCTAAGCCCCGCCTCCGGCCACGCCCTCTCGTGGAACCTTCGAGCAGGTTCCTGGAGCATCTCGGCTCGCCCCACCTGTTACCTTTGCCCCAGATACACCTCCCCTGATTGGTTTTTTACCTCTGTGCCTGTACCCGTGAATCCCTTCCCAGGCCAGCAGGTGTCACTTTGTCATGTCAGCAGGTGTAACTCTGTCATTACATATACACATTAATCATATATAAACCATACTCAATAATGTATTTTAAAAGTAACAAAAACTAGATTTACTTTACACCCCGTTCTCTACCTTCGGGCCTATCTTTTGTTAGTTGGAATGTCTTATTCCCAGGTAACATATCAGCAATGTCTTCCCCTTATATAAGGCTCTCTGCATTAAAAAAATCTATGTATTTCTTACAGAACTCAGCGACAGCACATCATTTCAGCCGCATTTATTCAGTGCACGCAAACTTCTTGACCGGTTTCGATACACACAGTATCTCATCAGCAGTCAGGTTTGCTTAAATCGATGCTGGTGAACTTCTCGATGTTATAGGCAAGGGCCCTGTTTTCATGACATGAACAACCCAACATATTCCTGCAACACTCTGTGACCTTAGATGTAATAGGGAACCTTACGGACAATGGCTCTTCTGTGCTATTAGGAAGGGGCATTGCCCGAAACGTTGCCTATTATATTTTATACTTTTAAGACCACGGTATTTGTGACGAATGCGGTTGAGTTTTTTTGTTTGTTCGTGCAAGCCCTGACCAATGCAGCCGCACCAAATCAAGTACCTGTAGAGGTGGCGAGATGTTAACTACCTCCCCTGGTATACAGAAGGCCGTGGGTTCGATCACGACCCTGACGGCTGTATATTTGGAGTTTGCATGTTCTCCGTGTGGTCGTGTAGATTTTTCTCCGCATGTTCCTACTACATTTAGAAACATGCGTTTGAGAATTTTTGGCTGCTATAGATTTTCACATCATCAGCACCTCCAAAACCAAGACCATGTCTGTGGCGCGGACTCAAGAGTGGCAGAGCGCCTCTTGATCTACGGTTAAGTAGTGGAGGTCGGGGAGTATTTCTCGAGGGATGGAAGAAGGGAAGAGGAGATCGAAGCGGGCCACCACAGTGATGCGGACCACGAACCGGCATGTGGTCTCAAGACAGGAGCTGAGCCTTCAGGCAAAGCTCTCAATCTATCGGTCAATATTCGTCCAGATTCTGACCTAAGATCCTGACGAGGACACGCTCAATGGTGCAAGTAACAAACATGGATTTCATGCACAGGATGGCAGGGCTTTCTCTCTCTCAGGGATCAGGTGAGAAGCATAGCTATCCGACAAACTCAACGTCCAGTAGGGCACTATTGAGCGAAGCCAGCCAGCTACGGTGGATGGGGTCGTCTGCCAAGGATTGTGAAAGAATGACTCCTGCGTGGAGTTGTTCGAAGGCCGTCCTCCAGGCAATAGACCCCAGAGGCCGCTTGCGATCGTGCCGAGAAGACCGGGGACGAGGAGAGACGGGCGACCCGGGAGCCACAGATGATGCCCGCTGGAGGGGGACAGGGCGCGGTGGAGAAGGGCCTTTGGTGGCTTTATTTTGGTGATTTTCGAAGTTTTTTGGTTTGGCCATGTTTGTTTGTTGTAGTACAGAGTTAGACTGGTGGCCTTAATCTAAGTTGTCTTGTGGTTGTTGCTGTTTGACTTGCATCCCACTGGGATATTTGCAGTGTTGGTGTACGGTGCTTTTTCTGCAATATTTTTCTGTCTTTTCTTGGATTTTCTGTTTGCACTTAGTCACTTTAAGATGTTTTCTTGTTCATGTTTTTTTTTTGTTGCGGTTGCACCCGATTCAAGAGCCGAATGGCTCACAGGGCTACACCTAATACACGAACTTGAGTCTCTGCCCCCATTTAGTTTGGAAAGAGCGGGCCGAGACTGACTGATTGAGATTTCCACGTGTTCAGCCACTTCGTTGAGCGTTCATTTGTGACCCCGGGTCGCTTCTGAAAAACGAGCTGCTATATAGCTCAGTGTGGCCTTACCTGGTGAAATAAAATAAATACAAAGTTGGGAAAAAAGTTTAAAATCAAGAAAGTTGGGAGAATTTGGGTTGCCCCCACTCCCTTACCCACACTTACGGTGTCTTTACGACAGCGCGTGCGACGTTGTTGCTTTACGACAGCGCGTGCGACGTCGTTGCTCTACGGCAGCGCGTGAGACGTCGTTACTTTACGGCAACCCGTGCGACGTCGTTACTTTACGGCAACGCGTGCGACGTCGTTACTTTACGGCAACGCGTGCGACGTCGTTGCTTTACGGCAGCGACGGTGTTGGGGGGAGATTTACGACAGCAAGGGTGGGGGGGGGAGCTTTACGACAGCGAGGGGGAGTTACTTTACGGCCCTTCTCCCTGCATGCACTGGACCCAGGCGACGTGGCTCTGCGAACGCTGACGTGGTGGTGGTGGCAGCGGCATCAAGCGCAGCGAGCCAAGGTTCGTGGCTCTTTCTCTTTCTAACAAGTTACAATAAGCCCTGGATTAAGTCAACGTTGTGTACTGTGTATACTATACCGCGTTGTAGTGTTCACGCTGCGCTTGTTCATTCAACCCCGCGATGCGTGTGATGGATCCGTGCAGAGTCGTCTTGGCTTTGGGGTTAATTAACCTCATCAACGAGCTTCGGTATAAAAAAACACAGTCAAAGGTCATAATATCTAAGTCATTTATACGGTCGTTTATATAAGTATTGTGTGCAGATGCTGTCTAAAGCTTGCGAGCTCCCTAATTGATTATCGATACGTGAACCATGTCGATTTGATTGATAATGATTTTATTTTTAACCGTCTTGATGTAATGACCCTTTGAGGCATGTGGCAGTCGGTTAAAGATTCACGTCCTTTTATTAGAACGCATGCGAGAGGCCCGCTTGTGATTATTCATCATCGTCGTCGTTACTGCTCTACGTAAGCGATCTTTGCTGTCAATTCTAACGATTGACCTTTTCGTAGAATTGACACTCATTGAGATCCAATATCTCTAAATTAGTTAATTTTTTCGATGGTCGATTTTTATTATATTTTTACCGACGTCATGTATTGTACAAGGTTAGATTTATTATACAAGATAAGTGCTCATTGAGCCTTATTCATTTGAACCACAGCCATGCGATGGGCTGTATGATCGTCCCTTATTTAACGGTGTGTACCATACAACTTAATGTAACCATTACATTTTGTCATTATTAGGGTTATCTTTGGAGGGTCCTGTCAAGTTTTTTGCAGTAGGGGGCGATGATGGCTATGTATATTGGATTGATATTTATCTCTCTCTTACATCCGGTAGTAATTAACAAAAGAGTCAATCGGGTTGCATTATCTCTTGGTAACATGTGTTTAATCATGTGAGCTCCCATTGCAATTCAGTATCTTGGTGAATGTTTAATTTGCCAACATCAGCACCACGAACTTAACTTTCCAAGATTGTATCAGTTCCGATGTGTCATTTGATTTATGTAAGTTTCCTGCTTGGTATTTTCTTTTGTTCACGAACGACCATTGTATTTTTTAAATGTGCCTCCTGATTGAAAGACTCCTTACGTGACGTATCTTGAGGCCAGGTTGTATTTAGATGCTATGCAAATTGAAATTATTATTGTTCTAGATTCTTAATTTGACTAAACAGTAGTGATGTGATGATTAGTACAGTGCGATTGCATCTTTAGATTATAATTTAAAAGAATTGATTTCAATTTTTAAATAGTATTTATTCAGGTACACTTTATTCGTGTAAATTGTGTACAGCAGAACTTCATGAAGCCACTGTGGGGGATACCATGTTGCGGATCCTGTAGCCAAAGCAGCGTTCCGCGGATCACGAGAGGAATTCAGCCACACGACCCCATTCGCAAAAAAAAATTGTGCGAATTACATAGCGGCTAAATTAATCCCCGATAAATTATTGGATTTTGAGTTCTAATTTTTCTAAGACATCTGCCATATGGTTCTATGCGAGGGGGAATTTAGTTGTTTACAGCTTCTTCTACCAACCAAATCACATCAGCGCAGCTAGTCTGCTGTTGAAAGCAAAAAAATGACAATTATTTGTATTTTCCATATATTATCGATAGGAATGCTATTCAAACACTGAACAAAGTTTGCATTATAAAGGAGCTGGCAAACCCTTGGCAATTTGAAAGTTTCAAAATATATAATGTACATTGCAAAGAAGTGCTTAAATTAATAAATAACACGGCTCACATTGCATAGCCACCTTTTTGCAATGTGCATTCCTTTAAAAACTGTATAATAACATTTGCAATAACATAGCACATTATAGTAATCCAGGGACGTCGCCGACGCGGTGTGCCGTGGATTACGGGAGGAATTGGCTGCTCCTGGAAGAGAATCAGAAATCCGCTATTTCTTGGCATATTTTAGGATCAACGGCCCCGCTAATTACGAGATGAGTTGTGAAAAGCAAGAAATCCGCAAATTATATGAATTTGCGCATTCTTAGAGCGTGGATGTTTTGAGTTCTATAGCTATTTGACACGTGAATGTATAGGCAGGAATCGCTGGATTATAACCTATTCCGCGTATTTACTGCTCCAAAAGCGGTCTTGAGATGATAGCTTGAATTGTGCTCATTGGATATACAATAGATTACACAGAATTCTTTAAATATGTTACAAAAATGCGAGTGAATCTGAAACTGCGTGGGGTTTTTCTGTTAAAATATTGATGGCAGTAACTTTGGGTTCTGTGTCCCTATGTCTCGAGAGTACGCACATTTTTTTACGCAATTTTAACCGTATACGTTGCATGTTTTCGCGAATTACAAGGTAAGCAAGGCGAGCTTTTGTCATTTATCGCCAAAGTCATGAATAATCAGAACACAATGGTATATATTTTGAGGGCATTCAATGTAAAAAAAATTAATCATAGAGAAATTAAAGGAAGGCAAGTGTGATAAACACAAAATTAATGTAAGCTTTCAAATATACCCATGCGGATGTGGATTTAAATGTCATGAGACGCATGTAGTCTGTTCCTGCCCTTCTTACAGATGCGAGTGTCACTATCCCTGTGGGTGGCTGTGCTGTGCACTCTGGCACCAGTGCATGGAGGAGACGAGGCCAGGCTACTGGCTTCTAAAAACCTGCTTAACACATATGCCGTGGAAGGTCGGGACTTGACCGTCCAGTTCAACATTTACAACGTGGGCTCCAGGTATGGCCAGAGAAAGCCTTACTATTGTATCACTCACTGTGCTGTAAAATCACAAACACCTTTTGAGATAGTAATTGCTCAAAGCACTAATGTTCTTGTAGGCGCTGTCATACTAGATACCTTTTTTTACAAGTCAGATTCTTGAAAGACTTTGGTTTCAACTTATGCATTGCTGCATATCATACTGACCTCCTAATGTAGCAATTACTTTCGAGATGGAAGATAAAGCAAGGACACGACGCTTATCGCACGATAATGCCATCAAGCTGCACAGTTTAGTCATTTACAACAGCCACCTTAAAATAGAATATTATACCTTTCATATGTTAGTGTGTCAATTTGATTATAAAAACTAAACTTAAAATGCATATGTAATAAATGGCTGCACTGCACACAAGCTTGACAAAAACCCCTGCTTTACACTTGCGTAATTAGAAATTGGATATATGTATCATTATTTTTCAACGGTGCATTCATGAGGCATGAAAGTAGTTCATACACACATCTTGTTGAAGGAAACTATTATACATTTTGATACATTTATTGACACCCCACTCATTACCCTTTTCTGCAAGTGTGATTTAATATTGTGAGAGGGAACGTCTGATATATTTCATCTCATGTTCAAAGAGATTGTTAGAAGACCGGGTAGAATCTTTTAAACAAAATGTTGCTTTCTCATTTCTTCGCACTATATTTATGGGTGACCTATAAGTGGGTCATGCCGTACTGCCCTTGAGCCTACAATATTCACAATGGTAAATTGCTGTGCGATTGTTATTTGGAGACTAGTTTTGAGTGAGGAGGCGGGTGTGGGAGCCGTGCAGGTTGTGTGGTGGTCACTGTGTGTGGTGTGCGACACTGGCGTTAACGGCTGTGTACACGCGCGGGGTGCTCGTGTGTGTGTGTGCGCGCCGTGTCCTGCGCAGTGCTGCCCTCGATGTGGAGCTGGTCGACGAGTCCTTCTCGCCGGAGGACTTTGGCATCGTCTCCGGGGCTCTTACCGCCAAGTGGGAACGGATTGCTCCGTATCCTTGTGACGCCTCTTGACAGCCTCCTATATATAACACTGCCTTATTAAGCTCTCCACTGTGCTGTGTTTTTGTTGTTAATGTTTGGTCATTTGCTCTTCGTTCCAGTTAATATTGATTATGAATAACATTGGTCGCGAAAGCCTACGTGTTAAACGCTTATATCTGGTCGGATGATGCTGAAGCAAGAGAACTTAACTCACAATCGGAAGGTTCCAAGTTTGAGTCTTGGCTGGAGGTTGTCCCAGCCTATTATTCTTTGAGAATAATAAATTCAATACCACTGTGGAAAAGTCAGCAGTGGTTGTCCTATTAAAAGCCTGGCTCCCACCATGGGAATTTCCAAAACTGGCTTAGGGCTACCAACGGATATGCGTGCCGCCTGATTGCTCATTTGGGAGAAGCTTTGACTTCGAATACTTATAACTCAAGCAGTAATAAAACATTTATCTTAAAATTTGCTGAACAAAAACAATGGCATGTGCAGTGGTATATTATGTAATTGTATCAATTTAACTTGGATAAAAGCCTATGAGAATAACATTTCTTTTTCAGAAATACCCGTGATATAATATTGCAAAGTACAAACATTAAAAAGGAATTTCTTTAAAACGTACTGTCATTTAATATAGGCCCTTAACTCCAAGTCCGCTTTTAGATCGAGCAATGTTACCCACGCGGTTGTGTTGCGGCCATTGAAACCTGGCTACGTCAACTTTACGGCAGCGACAGTCTCCTACCTCCCCCACGAGGGCAGCAGCGTGATGGTGAGTCAGCTGTTGCCTTTCCCACTGTGTGACCATCTGCTGTGCATGGGTAGCAATAAAACATGAACCGCTGATAATTTAACATTGTGGTGTGGCAACTTTCGTGTGACAGTAGGGCTGGGGTGGTTGTCCCAGTGGTGGTTTTGTTGAGTAGGCAGGCATCTTGAATTTCCCCCACAGTAACATCTGTGTTATCGAGGAAAGAGTTGTCACCTTGAGAGGGAACGTTTTAGATTAATTGCTTCCCGCTGTGTGCATTGAATTTACTGTGCGTGACTGCTACTGGTTTTATTAATACAACTTAGATACGCTAAGAAAAACTAGTGGAAAGAATTTGCTGCGCAGACATTTTATCCATGACATGTTCTCTCTGTGGAGTTTGCATGCGAGTTAAAAATGCAGCGAATCACACCTGTGTTTGTGTCTGTTTCCACAGGTGGGTTTCACCAGTGCTCCTGGCCAGGGTTCCATCCTGGGCCAGAGGGAGTTTGACAGGAGATTCTCTGCCCATTATGTACGTACAAAGGAGTATCTCTCTACCTACTGGATTTAAAGGCATCTTATGTTACTTAAAAAAATGTGAGTTGTATTAGCGTACTCAAAAAAGCGTTGCATACAACGCATCTCTAGTTAAGCAATTTTATCTTCGGAACCCTTTTTGCCAGTATTAAGAAGCTGAAAAAGAAAAGGTCTTATCATTTCTGGCAGTAATCCAGGTGTTAAGATGTTCATCTTAATTCTGGCAATTAGTGAAGATTACATATTGTCATGCCAAATGGATTCGACCAATACAAATTTAAACTCGAAATAGGTTGAGATTGTCACTTCATTTATGGGTGTCCATTACAGAAACTATTTCTTCCCTCCTTTTTCTCAAATTCCTACATGTTTCTCGTGAATGAGGCTCCTTTAAATGTATATTGGTAAGTCCAGGTGAGTGAATTAAAGAAGTCAAGACGCTGGGTCTGGGTAAAATCAAATGCTCATCAGGTTTCCAGTATTTTTTTTAAACATGTATTTTATTAATTAAAATTGATATTTTATTGCTTTCACATATATGCATTTTTCTTTTGTTTTCATTGTTTTATACGTAGATATTGAATCAAGACCTTCCTTTTCTGCCAATGTCTCATGTCTATAAAGTGTTCATATATGGAGCTGGATTTGTCATTCTCTCAATCTGTCACCACACCATAACAGTTATATAATGTCACAAATGCCTCAATATAACCATAAGAATCCATGAGGATTACATTTGATGACCTCCAATCTTTGACTTATGCATAAAACATTGCCTACAAAGCTAATTGAGTGGTGTGCCCCCTGTTGTACTTATTGTGCTATTGCATCTGTACATTTCTAGAGCTATGTTACCGACAATGTGCTATTCCTGAGTGGTGAGCATTTCATGTGTGTGAGTGGCAATTGCGAGTGCTTGGTGAGGGTCAGGTGGGTGGTGATTGGTGAGTGAGTCGTATGTCTGGTGTCTGCTATGTGACTGGTGAGTGTTGCTATGGTAAGTCTTGAGTGTTAGCTGTGTGCTCAAGTGTCTCGTGAGTGACTAGTGTCTGGATTGGGGTCAGAATCAGGGGTGAGGCTCCGGTGAGTGGTGAGTCTCCTGTATTGAGTGTCTGGTGAGTGTGTCGTCAGAGTTGTGAGGATCAAATGAGTGGTCGGTGTCGAGTGGTTTTGTCAAAGTGAATATCTCGTGAGTGCATCTAGCAATGGAATGGGTAGGACCAACAGAATAGGGAGCAGGGCTGATGTAGGAGGAGAGGGCAGGGCTGATGGGGAAGTCACCCTACCCTTAGGATCGATTTCCTTGTGGTCTAACACTAAATATATCCCTGTTTTCTCCCCGTGTCCTGCTTTGTGTAGTCTCGATGCAGCTCTATTTAAATGCTCCATGAATTGTGAAATCATATTTTGTGCATTTTGTACGTCGTATCGTTAGCAGCAATCCCACAAAGCCTCTGCTCGTGTGTGTTTGCAACAAAATGTGAAGCTTGTGCTCCGACCCTGTGCTGTGCAGCTGGACTGGATGGCGTTTGCAGTGATGACCTTGCCATCCGTGGGCGTCCCACTGCTGCTGTGGTACTCGAGCAAAAGCAAGTACGATGCACCCAAGGCCAAGACGAAGTGAGCAAGCGTGGTGCCACAGAAGAGGGCACTGCCACCGAGCCCAGACGACATGCAAAGAGTTTTCCTCAATGTCAGAATTTTACTAAGAAGCCAAGCAACATTTGTACATCTGGCTGCATAAAAATATAGACCCTTAAAGCATATGTGCCAATTGCATAAATTATGTATGCATTCCACTCATGTCGGGCCTTATTCTTTTGACAGTTTTTTTTTTATAAATTCGCAAGTTTGCTTTGATATACTGTAATTGGGAATGTAATACATTGAAAAGAAAATTACAAGAATTCATGGTCTTTTTGGACTCATGTTGTAAAATGAATTGTGGCACCATTTCAGAGGGAGATATTAATGATGTTTACTGTCCTGTGCCATATTTTAATAAACTTGTGATATCTCCCATTTGTGGACTGCATTGCATCATTGATGTTTGACACATTGGTGTCATACAGTAATGCACCATTCGTATGTGTGTTTAACTGTTGAATGGGCTCCTTAATGTAATTATGTCACTGCCACTTTGCATCAGGCTCGAAGCACATCCACAGGCAGCAGTTTAGATTAAATTTATCCAAGGTCTGTTTTCAATAAAGATGGGGTTAGGGTCGGAGGAGAATATTGTTTACAGTCAGGTTTGTGTATTCTCTCAAACCCAGAATATACTTGGGATAGAAATAAATGTTATGGACATTTTTTTTGGGAAACATGCTTTTCAACACAGCTGTTGTAAATTATGTTTCCAAGCAGTAACTGTTAATGTGGGAGATCTTAATAGCTATTTTGAATTGTTTTTACAAAATGCAATGATTACATTTTAACGGTTTTCATAAGCTGAGTGATACCAAGTTAAATATTGGATACTAGATTTATAATTCAATAATGCAAGGAAATAAAAGGCTGCATGATTGCGTGATAACGTTGGCTTTGTGTATAATATCCCAAATGTCCATGACCGCAGGCGGCAATATCCTGGGCAAACGGACTACAGATGTTGGTGCAAACTTTACACGTACTTTGTTAAAGCCTTTGTGCAAAATAATTTGTCTCCAGCGAGAAGCACTGTCTCACAATAGCAGGTATTTTGGAGAGCTTTAAATGGCAAAGTGAAAAGAATGGTCATGAGTGATTTGACTCTAAATCTAGTTTGCTGAGTGTGTAGGCCTTTGTCTTGCTCTCCAAAAAGTACATGGTGTAATATTGTTTTCGCATGTTTTAAATTGTCAACAAACATACTTGGGTATTGACAGTAAATGACCCATTGAAACTAATCCGAACTGCCATGTTAAATCCAATCGAGGTGATGCTCGACAACCATGATTTTAGAGTGCACCTCGCTGGTAAACAGCCGCAAGAGAATTATGAACAATGGCCTACCTCAAGGCCCACTACTAACATTGTCACTAACATATACAAGTGATCTGCCGTGTACATCTTCTCACAAGTTCACATGCAATTGACTGCCCCTTGCTGCACACAGCACAAACCGTGGAAACATTCCCAATCCTCTTAGCTGAGCTAATGTTACTGTAGGCATATTTTAGTGACTGGAGGCTGACCGAATTACTTCAAAACCAACACAAGTGCTTTTCACCTGAACAATCGTGCAGCAGATGCCACCCTTAATGCGATCTATGGTAGTAAAGTTCGCTATGACCCCATTCCAAGATATCTCGGGGTTATGGACAGAAGGCTGACTTTCAAGCGTCATAAAACAGATCATTGAAATGTTTTCAATTATCCCTGCTACAGAAACGTGTGTGAACACTCTGGGATGCCTCCGCTGATGTGCTGCGAACTGTCTCCCTATCGCTGATCTCGGTTGTCGTCGGTCAGTGTCCCCCAGCCTGGTTCGGGAGCTCGTACACAAAACAACACAATTCACAGCGCAATGTGCATCGTAACCGGAACACCGAAACCAACACGAATCCCCTGGCTCCCAACATTCTACCACCAAATATACGAAAAGACACTGCAAGGGAGTTTACACGTTTTCTTACCAACGATAACCAGCTACCCCATCGCTCAAGGCATCAACAAAGTGCCTCGCAGCCAACTCAAGTCCCGACCCCCCTTCTAGGATCACGCGGTCACCTCAGAATCTCACCCAGATCCGGAGGAATGCTAGCGAACAGTGGAATGCTGGATGTCTGGAATAAACCTCATTTGAGACTCAAATATCACATCTCCTGGCTTTGACATTTTCTCGAAAACTGGTGTACCATCAAATGCTTTATAACAGCGTTCATCGAAAGGGGCCCACAGGCCACTGGATGCCCCTGGTGGCCTTTAGTGCGGCCCTTGACGTGCATCCCCCGACAATACACAACATGTGAAAACACCCCCATTGTGCTGTCAAACCCACTGGTTTCAAATGCGTGGCGGCCCTCACATTGATGTCTTATTGTTGAAAGTGGCTCCCCTCTGAAAATGAGTGAGGAACACTGTTTTACAACAACAACAACAGGCCGATACGTACATCTTCATTAACGACATTTTTAAGGCAAGCCATCGTGTGATTGTGGCCATACAACTCGAATTAAGGACCATAGAGTAAACCAATGCGCTATTTTAATTGGATGAATTGCAAAATTACACAACTTTCTCCTGGAGCCCTCTCATGGCGAGCAGACCTCGAAATTGTAATTTAGCTCCTGAAAATCTCGCCATACACAGAATATTATTCTCAAAATATGTTCTTTGTGAAACCAAACGCTTGTTTAATGTCTATATTTATAGTGGCTGGGGTTGCTTGCATGTAAACACGTGGTCCCTAACATCTGGTTTGGAGTTTGCGGGAGATATACAATGACGAAATGCGCGCGTAAACAAGGCGTAATGGTTGAGTAAATGACAATGTCTGGGTTGGCTGTGTGGTCTGGGGACCGTGCGGTAATTGCGTCAGCAATACTCGGTACCCGACAATTTCCACCACTGCCTTGTTAAAATGAGGTAAATGGGATGATCGCTTGAAAAATAGAAGAATTACACATTAGGATGTGATGCAAACATCAAACGGTCGCACTCAGTGTTTTCCCAGTTAAAGGATACATTCTCAGTCACCATGATATTTGTTACCTTGTGTACAACAGCTGTATTTAAATGGCTGTCAAGTAGTTTCTCCATGACTTGAATCAAGCCAAAGTAAATGTTATACATAACCATTGACTGAACATTCTATGGTTACATCATCTGAATTAACATTGGGTAACAATTAATTCATGGATGCTGCTGTTTAGCTTCCATATTTCAAAATGGAGTGTAAAATGATGAATCATGATTAAACTACAAGTGGTCATATTCTCATCACTTGGCCAAATGTCAGAGTCGATGGTTACATTTCCACAGGGACATAGCCATTTCTGTATGGCATTGCTCTATTACTAAAAGCACTCCCTCTACTTTAAAATTGGCATTCAATTCAAGGTGACATCCTCATTCCCAAGAGCAGAGTATTGTCACGTCTCCCTTGCAGAACAGATCTCGATGTACTCTCAGCTGGTTAAAAACGGGGCATTTAATTCAAAGGCCTTCACCGATGTTAAATTGATGTATGCGTCACTTAACTTTTTTTTAATAAATGAAACGTAAAACAATAATGCATCGCATTTGGTTGTGTTCAATAAACATACTGTGGATAAGCCCTTCGGGATTGCCAGGGCAGGTCATTGTACAGGGTTGTCCTAGTGTTTTGTGACCCACATTTAATTCTCTAAAACTTAATATTGTTAAAGTAAGATTGTATTTAAAACATAAATGAATATGCAAGGAAAAAATGTTAAGGGTCAATTAATTGGTGGTCACAAGACATCTGAACCACCATATAGTTTGAAACGAAACGCGTGGCTTTTAATAACATTTGTGGTCAAAAACTGAGCGTTTTTATGACATTCACGAACAACACTTCAATTACTCAAAATGCATATTCGCCTGGTAGAAATGTCTGAAAAACTCTTAAAACTTACAGTGAACTCTCTAAAAGAAACTTTAAATAAAATTGAATAGGCTTAATGATCATCACTGTTTATCTGAATACGAACATCATGGTAAAGTCAATAGTAAGTATCCTGGTCACCACCATAGGAATGTGGATTTTCCATTACTGGCTCAGGGCTGTCAACCTAGATGAATACTGCCCCTTTAATGTTTGAGTAAACACATTTAATTATAGCTTTGATTGTACAATACTGCACCATTAGCTACCTATTTTACTAGAACGAATGTTATACTGTACTACGAATACTACACCACTTTAAATTCCTTTAATGTGGTGCCTTAAATGTGCACAGTTCAACTCAACACTTCCCTGCTGTGCTTCTTGACAACAACAAAAAGTCGAAATGACCTCGGTATCCAGAACCCGGTGAAATAAACTCACAATTACCACCGAGATCCACCTGTGTGCTCGCTTGTATCTAAAGCCCAGGGGAAGTAGGCTCCCCATGAGCGACACCAAAAGGGCAACATTACAGGGGGCTTGGAATAATCACCCAGCAAGTAGTACTCGCTGTGCCTGCAATCCCAGCGTGTCTCATCGCCTGGGGGCCACGCAGAGAGCAAGCACGTGTACCCGAGCGTAAATTATTGAAAGAGCTGCCATCATTTTATTCCAACATATTTGTGATTTATTTAAGTGATGAGTTCCCATTACGGTTTGCATTGTTACATGTTTTCTCCATCAGGGTTATTGATCTCACATTCAATATTTGTAACAGATGTAATGTTTTACTTGTAAAGTTTTCAGTTTCAGTATGTGAACAGTACTTGCCAGAGGTGGGACAAAGTCATTGTTATGCAAGTCCAAGTCGAGTCTGAAGTCATCAAATTCATGACTCGAGTCTGACTCGAGTCCAAGTCACATGACTCGAGTCCACACCTCAGAGGTGGGACAAAGTCATTGTTATGCAAGTCCAAGTCGAGTCTGAAGTCATCAAATTCATGACTCGAGTCTGACTCGAGTCCAAGTCACATGACTCGAGTCCACACCTCTGGTACTTGCTATTATAGAGTTACATCTTTCAGGATTTGAATGTGTTTTCAGGGTCGTTAAACGATCGTCGTTTTCAAACGATCATCGTTTTCAAATGGAAATTTGGACAGTTGTTTCAACTGGAATTGAAGTGGCTACTTCTGGATTGCAAAAGTCCAGAAAGTTAACCAGTGGACCATGGCAGTTCCTTTCGTTTCTCAGTTGATTATGTAACACAGTTATGTTGTTACTTCATGGGACCTCCTTTGCCAGTATATGAGAATAGGTTTTCCCCTTTTTTCTGGCAAAAAAAACAGGTGTTAAGATGTTAAAACACCAAACTGCTAGTGTTGCAATCGAAACGTCGTATTCTATTACTTATTTAATTTAATTTCCACGTGACTTTACCAAAAGGACCAAAGAGTAATTCCTGCAG